TGTCTTAAAGGATGCTGGCTGGGGAATTCTGGGAGTGGAAGTCCACCCATCTTAATGATGCTGGCTGGGGAATTCTGGGAGTGGAAGTCCACCTGTCTTAAAGGATGCTGGCTGGGGAATTCTGGGAGTGGAAGTCCACCCATCGTAATGATGCTGGCTGGGGAATTCTGGGAGTGGAAGTCCACCCATCTTAATGATGCTGGCTGGGGAATTCTGGGAGTGGAAGTCCACCCATCTTAAAGTTGCCAAGGTTGAGAAACACTGGCCCAAACCACTTGCGGAGCAGTGGTGGGATTCAAATAATTCAACAACTGGTTCTCTGCCCCAATGATTTCTTCCAACAACCAGTTCGTCAAACTGTTCAGAAAGTTAACAACCGGTTCTCCCAAACCGGTACGAACCAGCTGAATCCCATCACTGTTGCAGAGATGTTGGATTACAAATTCCATCATCCCCTGCTATGCCATAATCCGGTTACTGGCCTAAGCTCCGCTAGCAAAGGCCGGGGTGAAGGGGGACCCGGAGCCCAATTTCAGTTGCTTGACTTCTTCCTGTGTCCTTTCTGGATCCCAACCCTCCAGGGTGCCCAGCTGCCTTTTTTGGAAAGAACTGTGCCAACGTCTGCCAGTGCCAGAACGGGGCCGACTGCGACCACATCACCGGGCAGTGCACCTGCAGAACGGGCTTCACCGGAAAACAGTGCGAGCAGAGTAAGTTTGGGGGAACGGAAAGCTTTTTATCAAGTGGATCTAACTTGCTTTGCTTTTGGGGGTGCATAAAGTAACCCCAAAGGGGGGAAAAGCCAGTCCCTGGAAGGTTTGTGCTGTGGAAGACAGAGCATCCGTGTGGCTGCATACACACAAGCATCCCATCATCCACAGAAATGGGCATGTTGTATCCTGGACTGCAGTCATTCCCTCCCTCCTTCATTCCTTTCTCCCTCCCTCCCTCCCTCTCTCCCTGTTGTTTCCTTCTCCCCCCCTCCCTCCTTTCCTTCCTGTTCTTTCCTTCTTTCTTCCCTCCCCC